ACGAGTCCAGAGATATTTCACCAGAAGTGTCCTCCACTCCTCTGCTCACAACAAAATACCTTATGCCACCAGACTTGGAATTTTGGGCTTAGACAATTTAGAACTTCGCCATCTTTGGTCTGACCTAAGCATAATATATATAGTCATCAATATAACATTGGTCATTGGATTCAAGTTCTGCAGTATAGTACAATTGTAAAAGCCATGACTGGAAAGAGACAAGTTCATGACCTCTTCAGTCATGGAAGCTTACTGGGTGCCTTTGGGCTGAGAAAGAGCAAGCACCCCAATCTTTGTCCTGAGGTTTTTGATATTTGATACTAGATTCGGCATCTGGAACTTCTAGGAAAAGGGACGTCTATGCCTAATAAATAAGTCAAAACTAGAGTCATTTGCTGAGATTGTTGACTAAAGAAATCTGATAGAGATAGATAACAGATAGATAGATAGATAGATAGATAGATAGATAGATAGATAGATAGATACATAGATACATAGATACATAGATAGATACATAGATAGATATATAGATAGTTCATTCCAGGCTTACCAAATCGCCAAAATGGTTCATGCCCAGCCAGTAGGTGTATTTCCCCAGGTCAGCTTGCTTGTTATGATCTTGGATCATCTGCAAATTCTCTTCCCACACAGCTCTTCGAAAGGATTCTTCCTCCTCCTGTGAAGCCAAGAACGGAAAGATACCTTAGTCGCATCTCCCCTAACAAGTAGCACCTAGAAGATCTAGAACTCATATTCTTCTCTTCCATAAAAAGTTTCTCAGGCTAGAATTCAATTGCCCAGGAATGGACCAAACTCTATTCAATTTTCATTTAGTACACAGGACATCATTCCTCACAAAGCATATCTGAAGACAGATAGCAGAAAGCAAGCTTATAAATATTGCTATTCTAAGTTGAAATCAAGGTATGGAACTGGAACACTTGAAGTGAAAGTAGGATTTTTGTTCATGTGGGACAGAACCTACAGAAGACTCTGAGAACATCAGTCATGACAGCCAACTCAGCCCCCATTGTATCGGAAATGTTAAACCAAAATACAGCAATTTAATTTGAGTTCTACTGGAGCAAACTCACCTGAACATATTCTTTACCATGAGTGGCCTTCCAGTCCCTCCATGTCCCCTCCAGGGTTGGATCCAAAGCTGTGGAGAAGGTCCTCAGGGAGACCAACCAGATCAGGGCCGCCACCGAGATGGACAGCATCGTCTTTCTCTAGGAGAAGAGAAGAGCTCACAGACCAGAGTCAATGTAGGAACATGCAAAGAGTTAAGATCAGCAACATCTGGTTGACTAAAGGTTCCAAACCCTGATTTACAGTGCTAAAAAGAGAAATTAAAACTATTCAATTACTGTTAATAAATGCATTGATCAAATGAGAATCTCTGGAAAGTTTGAGGTAAGAGTAACCAGCTGGAACCTCACCTCAACCAGGTTTTTACAGAAGGCAAAGGGGAAGCTGTTAAAAGAAAACTGTAGCAGCCCCTTTTATAAGCGAAGATATAACTGCCACTTCCCACTGCCTTTAATTGACATTTTACAACCAAATAGCATATCTCTAAATATCTTTGGAAAGCAGTGTTTTTTCCTTTCAGTAAGATAATCTTCTTTTAAATCTTTCTTTTTGGGGGATTTTATTTGGGGCGGGTTAGGTAATTCTATAAAGCAAAACAACTGCAAAAAAAGCCACTGGTTAGACTGCTGACCTGATTTGTATCTCCTATGCCTGGAAACGTCACTGACTTTCGGTGGTTGCAACTGTTTTAATGTCCTAGGAAGGTAAATTTCATGTTTGATTTCTATCTAGCTACTCCATCTATCTTGATTCTTGAAAAAAGCATGAGCTCCACCCTGCTCCTTCCCCCAAGCAGGAGACTTCTTTAGAAGAGCACTTGACGGCCGTGACCGGGAGGATTTTTCATCAGGTTCGCCTGATTTGCCAGTTACGTCCCTTTCTGGATTGGGACTCCTTACGCACAGTCACTCATGCCCTCGTCACTTCCCGCCTGGACTACTGCAACGCTCTCTACATGGGGCTCCCCTTGAGGTGCACTCGGAGGCTCCAACTGGCGCAGAGTGCAGCCGCGCGGGTGGTTATGGGAGCGACATGGCGTTCCCATGTAACACCTTTCCTGTGCGAGCTGCACTGGCTCCTAGTGGTCTTCTGTGTGCGCTTCAAGGTCTTGGTTACTACCTTTAGAGCGCTCCATGGCTTAGGACCTGGTTACTTACGGGACCGCCTGCTGCCACCAGTAGCCTCCCACCGGCCGGTACGCTCTCATAGAGAGGAGCTCCTCCGGGTGCCATCGGCCAAACAATGTCGACTGGCGGCCCCCAGGGGGTGAGCCTTCTCTGTGGGGGCACCTACTATCTGGAACGAGCTCCCCCCGGAGATACGGAAGATCCCGGATCTACACACCTTCCGCCGCGCTCTCAAGACCTTTTTATTCCATCAGGTTGGCCTGGCCTAACTGTTTCTCTTCCCCCCCCCCTTTTTAAAATGTAAATTTTAATTCGTTTTTAATTTATTGGGGTGTTTTAATTCTGTCTTCGGCCAAATTGTTTAATTTGATTTTATTCAGTTTTAAATTTTGTATTTATGTTTTTTATCCTGTGGCTGTTCACCACCCTGAGTCCTTCGGGAGTAGGGCGGTATACAAATCAAATAAAACTAAAACTAAAAAACTAAACTCAAAGACAACTGCAGTCATTACTAATTGTGGGGGAACATGTCAATTGAGGGTCCATCTTTATTTGGACAAATGTCACGTTGGGTTTTTCAACCTTCCTAAAATGGTTTAGGAATAATGCTAAAATGGTTATGATTTGGTATTCCAGACATGGGTTCTACATGCAAGTTCAGCAGGTAGTGAAATATAGGTAGTCTTCAATTTATGACCACAATTGAGCCCAAAATTTATGTTTCTAAGTAAGAAATTGGTTAAGTGAGTTTTGCCCCATTTTATGACTTTTCTTGCCACATTTGTTAAGTGAATCACAGCAGTTGTTGAATTATTCACACAGTTTTTAGTGGATCTGGTTTAGCCATTGACTTCACTTGTCAGAAGCCAGCTGGGAAGATTGCAAAAGGCGATCACAAAACCCTGAGATGCTGCAACCGTCTTTGCATGAGCTTGTTGCGAAGTTCTCGAATTTTGATCACTTAACTGTGAGGATGTTGCTCAGATCACAAGCATCAGAACTGGTTGTAAGTCACTTTTTTCAGTGGTGTTATAACTTCGAACAGTCATTAAGCGAATGGTGGTATGTTGAGGACTGCCTGTATAGCTGGTTTTAGCCAGAGAGATCCCATTTGTTGAAAGATGTTCATTTTGCTCACTTCTTTTTCTTAGATGTTTTTGTCTTGGAGCCTCTCATTCTCGGGCCTTACATCCTGGCCAATAGTAGGTTTCACTTACTTACCTTCGCTACTGGTTCAAAACTGTGAGTGCAAATGTGCGCTTGCTTGCTCCGCATACACGCGGTACTTCTGTGCCTGCAGAAAACCTTCTGTGCATTGGCAGAGCGTCCGTGATGACATCCAGGTGGGTGGGCGGAGCCTCTCAACACTCCTGCTACAGGTTCGCTTGAACGGGGGCGAACTGGTAGAAACCCACCATTGATCCTGGCCCTAAAATTCTTGGAAGGCTACATGACAGCAAAGAACACGTATCATCCTGAAGGAAAGCAGCAGTGAAAACAAGGCTGACCCCTCTTCTTATTGCAAACGATTACTTAGAATGTGTCCCATTTTTTTTGACCATTCACTGGAGAAAGCAATTATGTTTGAAACAATTGGCGGTAAAAGGAAACCAGGCCGCCAGAGAATAGGGTGGCTGGACACCCTCAAACCTAACATCACCAAAGCATTGAACAACTCAAAGCAATAGTGCAAGATTGGAAGATGTGGAGAGACCTGACGCATAGGATTGCCAAGAGTTGGACGCGACTGAATGAATATCATTATCATCATCATCATCATCTCCCATTTTCATGTTGCTGATAAATTATCTTGAAAGGTTTGCATACTTAACTATCAGCCCTATCGATTAGGGATAGAGGGGTGTGGACTGTGATATTGTAGGAATGAACCCACCAATTACTTATTATTGATCCTGTGCTTTGTTTTCCAAATGTGTGTAATAGGCATGCCAATTTGAGTACTGAGGGCTCTCAATGGGCAATGCTGTGTGATGTAGTCCTAGGAGCACATTTCTTTGCACTGCACCCAATAAACAGTGTCATCTCAACTGTTATCTCAAACCAGGGGTGAAATCCAGCAGGTTCTGACAGGTTCTGGAGAACCGGTAGCGGAAATTTTGAGCCTTTCGGAGAACTGCCAAATACCACCTCTAGCTGGCCCCAGAGTGGGGTGGGAATGGAGAATTTACAATATCCTTCCTCTGGAATGGGGAGGGAATGGGAATTCTGAAGTATCCTTCCCCTGGAGTGGGGTGGGAATGGAGATTTTGCAGTATCCTTCCTCTGCCACACCCACCAAGCAACACCACACCCACCAAGCCACGCCCACAGAACCGGTAGTAAAATAAGTTGGATTTCACCACAGTCTCAAACCACATGTGTATGAAATGAATACATCTTTCTAATGCATATTTTCTGTGTTTTTTACAGGGCTAGATGCATCAGGAATTCTGACATTCCATGAGGAAATATGCCACATTTATACCAACACAATGTCCCTAACAAACACATGCACATAATAGAACAGAGTGTGCTGGGTCAGTTCTGAGTAGCATTGCACAAAAGCATTTATTATTTTTTTTTTCTTCCAGAAGTTTCAGAAGCAGCAGGTCATTCATTGGTGACTTTTAGCTCTATATCTCAAACGATCCTTATGCTGAAAGAAGAAATTACTTTCCCTTCTTGGGATCTGGGACAGGAAAGACGGCGTATTCAGTGACTTTGCATTGATTTGATCCTTTGGCTAGGCGCATGTAACCTTTCTCACCCCAAAGAGTGGACCAGCTGTGAAGGGAAGAATACAGAATGTTTATTTCTAGAATTCTGCAGCAAGGTGGATCATTCATGATTCTAGCTGAAGTTTCGCCATCCCCAAAAGCCTGGTGCAAAAGGAGGCTTTTTGCCATAGGTTAACAGGGAGGCAGCCATCTTTAAAAGGAGCAACAACAGACCAGCTTCCGGGTCCATGGCTTCACAGAGGATATGCAACATGACTTCAAGATGGAAACTAAGCATCAGAAGATCTGGGTATGTTTAGCCTGCAGATGTCACTCAGCGTCTGCTGGGACTCACTGCATAAATGGGGCATAGTATCCTCCCCTCAGTGTGACTGGGTGTATATCACACTGTGACTGACTGTAAACTGAGGGCATATACCGCTCCAGTATCAGATTTTGTTTTTCATATAAATGATGCTGTGCCTTAATGGTTAGATGGCCTAGACATTTTTATCTGAATACAGAATTTTTTAACATTCATATTTTATATGGACTTTTTAATCTAGATAAAATGTTCCTCAGCTAACATCCTCGGTAGGAGTTGGATGACAACACCCTCTATCTCCAAGTACTTCAGGAGCATTGTCTTCCAACCCAGCCAAAGGACATTCTTCGGAGAAGCAAAATTAACATTTTAAGACGCCCAGAGGTACACTGTGGTAAGATGGACAGCCAATAAATTTAATAAATAAAATATTTTTTTCTGTGGAAAAATTCAATGGGGAAAACAAGTAAGTTATACAGTAAATAAATTTCCCATTTCTTACACTTCTGCAGACTGATGTCTATTTACTCACCTGTTCTTTAGGATCCAGTAGCCTTTGCCCTCACTGGAATTGTTATAACCCACAATCAGCATATCATGATTTGTCTGTTTTGCTCCATTGTTGGGTTCTCTAAATATTCCTGGATAGAGAGAATAAGAAATGACCCATCCTTGGTGGTTGCCAGATGCCCCGCCCTATCTTACCTGCCTTTTTAATGATTGCATCTCTAATTTGAAACATGTCTTCCTGGAGATGTTTTCACCTGGGCCCCTCAGATGTTCAAGCACTGGACAAAACCCTTAGACTATAATGGTATCTCTCAGCTTTTTCTAGAGAACCAATCCCCTAGGACTATGTTGATCAAACAGATTTCTTATTTTTTATTGGTGTCTTTTAGCTTTTCTTTTTTTGTCCGTTTAATATGTTTAGTAACTATTTTATCCTGTGCTGGAAAAAAAAGTCACTCTAAAAATAGAGAATATCGAGAAGGGTCCTTGGTGCTCTCTGAGCTTGGATGTTTTCTTGCAGGCATTTCATAACCCAACTAAGTAACATCATTACTGATGAAACCTCTGCAAGGAAACCACCAAACGCAGCACTAAAGCCCCCTCATTTCCACCCTGAGCTACAAACATTCTCCTCTTATTGATTGAGAAGGGTTTGTGTCGTTGTGGTGTAACTCAAGAAAAATTCTTTACTTCTGCGTACTAGTAGTTGATTGATTAATTTCTGGTCACGGTGACCAACCCAGATTGACTCTTGCAGCGTTATCCTGGGATACGTGTATTCACCTTCATTCTTGAGATACAAATGTGTTAATACAGAGAGACAATAATTAAATAAATGAATCCCCCTTACAACGTGCCCCAATTGTTCAGTGTATTGGGTTCATAGGAACAGCGTCTTAGTTGTAAACTTAGCAGTTCTATGTATGTTTAATATATACATCTGAAGCCAGGAGGAAATTTGACAATTTCTGGTTGGGATCCCAGTGGCCTGAGTAAATAGAGATTTATCTGAAGCTGCAATCACCTCTTTTGTATTTCAAAGAATAACCTTAAGAAGTTCTCCAACTATCTGAAGCACCTCAGACGAACTAGCTTTATTAATTCAACCTGACAGTAAGTACAATCACTCAGTGAAACCACTTGCCTTCAAAAGTTATGGGTGCTCCAACATTGGAGGCTTTTAAGAAGGGACCCATATGCCTCCTGTGCACAGCCCCATAAAGACATGTCAGGCACTGATGTTACAGGAGACAGAATAACAGAATCGGAAGAGACCTGGGAGATTTTCTATTCCAATCCCTGGTCAGGCAGGTGACCCAACACCATACTGGTCAAACAACTTTCCAATCTCTTCTTGAAAACGTCCAGTGTTGGAGCACCCAGAACTTCTGAAGCTGTTCCACTGATTAACTGTTCTCACTGTCAGGAAATTTCTCCTTAGTTCCAGGTTGGATCTCTCTTTAATGATTTATTTATTTATTTATTTATTTTTATTTGATTTATATGCCGCCCTTCTCCGGAGACTCAGGGCGGCTTACAATGCGTTAAGCAATAGCCTTCATACTTTTGTATATTTATACAAAGTCAGCTTATTGCCCCCACAAACTGGGTCCTCATTTAACCTACCTTAGAAAGGATGGAAGGCTGAGTCAACCTTGAGCCTGGTAAGATTCGAACCTGCAGAAATTGCAGGCAGCTGTGTTAATTACAGGGTGCATTAAACCACTGTACTACCAAGGCTCCTGATCTTCCACTGGTTACTTTTTGTCCTGCCTTCAGATTTATTTTTATTTATTTATTTATTTATTTTTCAGATTTCTATACTGCCCTTCTCCTTTCGGACTCAGGGCGGTGAACAGCCAAAATAAAACATTTGTACACAAAAGTTAAAATAGATTTAAAATAATTAAATAAAGTTTGACCCATAATTTAAAACATTTCAATTAAAATCAGTATCAAATTTTAAAAACCAACCATAAAATCAGGACAGCCCGGCTAACTGAAAAAAATAAGTGTTAAGGGCCCGACGAAAAGTCCGGAGGTCTGGGATCACTCTTATCTCTGGGGGTAGATTGTTCCAGAGGGTAGGTGCCACCACAGAGAAGGCTCTCCCCCTGGGGGTCGCCAGCCGACATTGTCTGGCCGATGGCACCCTGAGGAGGCCCTCTCTGTGGGAGCGAATTGGCCGGTGGGAGGCAATTGGCGGCAGAAGGCGGTCCCGTAAATACCCCGGCCCTAAGCCATGGAGCACTTTAAAGGTGATCACCAACACCATGAAGCGCACCTGGAAGTCCACCGGAAGCCAATGCAGCTTGCGCAGGAGAGGAGTCACATGGGAGCGCCCCGTCGCTCCCATAATCCCCCGCGTGGCCGCATTCTGCAGCAGTTGGAGCCTCCAGGTGCACCCCAAGGGGAGCCCCATGTAGAGAGCGTTACAATAGTCCAGACAAGAAGTGACGAGTGCTTGAGTGACCGTGCATAGGGAGTCCCGATCCAGAAAGGGGCGCAACTGGCGTATCAGGCAAACCTGATAGAAAGCCCCCCTGGCCACGGCCATCATATGCTCTTCTAAAAATAGCCGTGCATCCAGGAGGATGCCCAAGTTGCGGGCCCTTTCCATGGGGGCCCATGATTCTCCCCCAATAATCAGCGATGGCGCCAGCTGGCTATACCGGGATGCCGGCAGCCACAACCACTCGGTCTTGGAAGGGTTGAGTCGAAGCCTGTTTCTCCCCCTCCAGACCCGCACGGCCTCCAGGCACTGGGACATCACTTCCAAGGCATCGTTGGGATGGTCTGGGGTGGAGATGTACAGCTGAGTATCATCAGCGTACTGATGGAACTCCACCCCAAAACCACGGATGATCTCACCCAGCGGCTTCACATAAATGTTGAACAGGAGGGGCGAGAGGACCGACCCTTGTGGCACCCCACAAACAAGGCACCTCAGGGTCGACAGCTGCCCCCCTGTCAACACGGATTGCGACCGGTCGGAGAGATAGGAGGAGAACCACCACAAGACGGTGCCCCCCACTCCCAGTCCCTCCAGCTGGCGCAACATGATACCATGGTCGATGGTATCAAAAGCCGCTGAGAGATCTAACAGGACCAGGATAGAGGAGTAACCCCTACCCCGAGCCCTCCAGAAATCATCCACCAACGCGACCAATGCTGTTTCCATGCTGTACCCAGGTCTGAAGCCGGACTGGAGCGGATCTAAATAGACAGCTTCATCCAGGAACTGGGGAAGCTGTCGCGCCACCACACTCTCAACAACCTTCGCAATAAAACGAAGGTTGGAAACTGGACGATACTTAGCCAAAACAGCCAGATCCAGGGATGGCTTCTTGAGGAGGGGCCTCACAACCTCCTCTTTCAAGGTGGCTGGCAGGACACCCTCACTCAAAGAAGCGTTAATAATCCCCTGGAGCCAGCCTCGTGTAACCTCCCGGGAAGCCAGCACCAACCAGGAGGGACACGGGTCCAATAAACATGTGGTCGCGTTCAGCCATCCCAAGATCCTGTCCACAGCCTCGGGAGCCACAGGATCGAACTCCTCCCAGATAACACTCTCAAGGCCTGCCTCAGTCATCTCGTCTGAACTAACCCAGTCAGCGCCAAGTCTTCCCGAATCTGAGTTATTTTATCATACAGATACTGTACAAAATCCTCAGCTCGGCCCTGCAAGGGGTCATCCTGCGCTCCCAGATGCAGAAGGGAGCAGGTCACCCTAAACAGGGCGGCTGGGCAGTTATCTGATGACGCGATAAGAGCGGCAAAATAGCTAGATTTCGCCACTTTTATCGCCACTAGGTAGGTCTTAATCTGAGACTTTACCAGTGTCAAGTCAGATTCGGATCGGATGGCCCTCCAACCGCTCTCTAGGCATCTTTTCCAGCGCTTCATCTCCCTCAGCTCCTTGGAGAACCAAGGAGCTAAGTGAGTTCAATGCCGGGTCAGAGGCCGCAAAGGCACGACACGGTCCAAAGCCCCGGCAGCCGCACTATCCCAGGCAGCCATCAGGTCTTCAACTGAGTCGTGAGCCAGAGTCTCAGGAAATGGCCCAAGCTCCATCTGGAACCTATCAGGATCCATCAGGCGCCTGGGGAGGAACCACCTGGTCGGCTCCGCCTCCCTGCGTTGGGGTGCGGTGGTCAGAAAGTCAAGAGAAGGAACGAGATGCTTTGGAGAATAGGTTGACCCCCTCTTCTTTGTAGCAGCCCCTTAGATATTGGAAGACTGCTATCATGTCACCCCTAGTCCTTCTTTTTCATTAAACTAGATATACCCAATTCCTGCAACTGTTCTTCATATGTTTTAGCCTCCAGTCCCCTAATCATCATTGTTGCTCTTCTCTGCTCTTTTTCTAGGTCATCTGGGCTTATATTCAATTGCTAAAATCCCCAAATGTTTGATCCTGGAGGGACCGAATGCTCCCAAACACAGTATATCCCACAAAAGATGGAGTAAACAACCCACAGACAAGTAAGAGGTCCAGAAGAAGCAAGATGATAGACATTCTGTCACACAGCCATTTTTCTTCTCCAGAGATACACACAATTTGAAAGATAGATAACTAATAAATAAAGCAGTGGATGATGGAGAATATTGATTGGCACTGGGCTGTTAGTTGGAAGATGGACAGTAGTGACCATCTCCAAGGAAAGAGCTGTGTTCAAAAGTTGGGCTCTGAGAGAGATACAGTTGGCCCCACCATTCCAACAATGATGCAATCCGAGAAGCCTCTGAGATCAAATGAAAATTGCCCCAATAACCACCAAGATAACTGAGCAGTAGCACTTAGACTTATATACTGCTTCACAATGCTTTACAGTCCTCTCTAAGCAATTTACAGAGTCAGCATTTTGCCCTCCACAATCTGGGTCCTCATTTTACCAATCTGGAAGAACTGAGTCAACCTTGAGCTGGTGGCAGTTGGCAGAGTTAGCAGAATCAAACTGGTAGCAGTTGGCAGAGTTAGCCTGCAATATTGCGTTCCAATCACTGTGCCACCATGTTAACCTAATAAAGCAAAGCCTTCAAAACAAACCAGCAAATCTAACATAAAAAGCTCCATTACCTGACCTGAAATAAACAAAGAGCTCTCCTTCTTGTCACCATCTTGAAAACAACAAGAACAACATAACCCCTTAATACTTAGATGGAGTTTGGCCTCATCAGTGTTGAATATTTGTTGGCAGAGGAGATGGCAAGAACCAGAAGGTCAACAGTGAGAGCCCTCAGGAATCTTACCTGACTTATAGAAGTGGAACTTGATACTCCGAGCATCTATTTTAACAGAAATTGGACCAATCTTGGCCACAGCTTCCTGAAGACCTTTTTCATCATTCTCCATGATCTTTCCGAATGATTTACATCTGGTAATAGATTGCTCAGGATCATAGCGACAACTCCCCCTATACTGCAGAAAAAAAATGGTGATCCAAAGAAATCGTTGCCATTGATGGGCTTTAATAGAAATTGTCTCCACCCATGACTCAAACCTTTTCCATCCTATTGCCGGAGGCATTTTCAGGCAGAGACATAGAGTAAAACAATTCAGCTTGAAGCATGCAGAAGGAAAAGGCTGGGAGATGCACAGATTTAATAATTTATTACCTCTCCATCATAAGGGTAGCTTTTCTCTGAATTAATCCCTCCTTGCTTCCGCACAGTTTCAAAAGCTAGGTGCATAAATCCAGCGAAGCAACCACTATTCTGTCGTTCTGTAGAACAGTCGATAAGATTTTGTTCGCTCAGCGAGACCAGCTTCCCCGTCTTCTTGAAATGCATGCCTTCCAGAGCACCAGTGGCACTGAAGGACCAAGAGCCACACTCACCCTGGGTTTAAAAAAAAAAAAAGCTGGAGTGATCCACTGAGCATCTGAAAATTCCGAATATAGTACAACAGATTTGGAAGGGAACTCAGAGGTCTTCTAATCCAGCCCTCTGCTTGAGCTGGAGACCCTATACCATTGCGGACAAATGGCTATCCAATCTCTTCTTTAAAACTTTCAGTGATAAAACACACACAACTTCTCGAGGAAACACTGATTAAATGATCTCAATTTATATTCCTTTTAACAGGTTACTTGCTCTCAGTACTTGGTAGTAAGCAGCTGACAGGATTAAAGTTTTGGGGATGAAGTTAAGAGAGAAAAGAATTTAGCTTTATCTGCCAGTCTTCGTGAATCTGTCAAATTCTGACTTGTGGCCCAATGGACAGATCAGAACACTCTTCTTTTCCTTCAAAACATCTCTACGTAATACCCAGAACCATCCACCACAACCCACCTGATCCTTGACTTCGGTGACACCACCTTTGATTCTCCAGTCCACGTGGTCAGGAATATTTGGATCATCTGAGGATTTGAACATGATCCCGTTGACTTTAGTTACATTATCAACATCAGAGAGCAGGCAATGCAGCCTCTTGTCAAGCTCTTCATTGGTCTGAGGAGGAGAAGGACAATCTTAACAGCTCTCCATTTCCAATTCTCATCTTTCTCCTTAATCAGTTTATCCCATGATCAAATACAAAAATTATATGTTATGAACAAACCAAACCTGGTTACCACAGAGGATTTTGTGTTTAGTTAAATCTACTTAACTACTTAACTACTGTATTCAATTCTTGGATGCAGCTCATCTGTCTGGAACCCGTACTGCATATTGAACATTAATACAATCGAACGAGTCCAGAGATATTTCACCAGAAGTGTCCTCCACTCCTCTGCTCACAACAAAATACCTTATGCCACCAGACTTGGAATGTTGGGCTTAGACAATTTAGAACTTCACCATCTTTGGTCTGACCTAAGTGTAATATATATAGTCATCAATATAACATTGGTCATTGGATTCAAATTCTGCAGTATAGTACAATTGTAAAAGCCATGGACTGGAAAAGACAAGTTCATGACCTCTTCAGTCATGGAAGCTCACTGGATGCCTTTGGTCTGAGAAAGAGCAAGTACCCCAATCGTTGTCTTGAGGTTTTTGATATTTGATACTAGATTTGGCATCTGGAACTTCTAGGAAAAGGGATGTCTATGCCTAATAAATAAGTCAAAACTAGAGTCATTTGCTGAGATTGGTGACTAAAGAAATCTGATAGAGATAGATAACAGATAGATAGATAGATAGATAGATAGATAGATAGATAGGTAGGTAGGTAGGTAGGTAGGTAGGTAGGTAGGTAGATAGATAGATAGATAGATAGATAGATAGATAGATAGATAGATAGATAGATAGATAGATAGATAGATAGATAGATAGATAGATAGATAGATAGATGAATGATCCAGGCTTACCAAATCACCAAAGTGGTTCATGCCAAGCCAGTAGGTGTATTTCCCCAGGTCAGCCTGCTTGTTATGATCTTGGATCATCTGCAGATTCTCTTCCCACACGGCTCTTCGAAAGGATTCTTCCTCCTCCTGGGAAGCCAAGAGTGGGAAGATTGCTTAGTTGCATCTGTCTAAACAAGTGGCACCTAGAAGATCTAGAACTCATATTCTTCTCTTCCATAAAGGATTTCTCAGACTAAAATTCAATTGCCCAGGAATGGACCAAACTCCTTTCAATTTTCATTTAGTACACAGGACATTATTCCTCGCAAAGCACGTCTGAAGACAGATAGCAGAAAGAAAGTTTATAAACATTGCTATTCTAAGTTGAAATCATGGTATGGAACTGGAACACTTGAAGTGAAAGTAGGATTTTAGTTCCTGTGGGACAGAAACTACAGAAGACTCTGAGAACATCAGCAGTGACAGCCAACTCTGCCCCCATTGTAAGCGGAACTCTTCAACCAAAATACAGAAATTTAACTTGAGTTCTATTGGAGCAAACTCACCTGAACGTATTCTTTACTGTGAGTGGCCTTCCAGTCTCTCCATGTTCCCTCCAGGGTTGGATCCAAAGCTGTGGTCAAGGTCCTTAGGGAGACCAACCAGATCAGGGCCGCCACCGAGATGGACAGCATTGTCTTTCTCTAGGAGAAGAAAATAGATAATACAGGATAGGGTAGGGTAGGGTAGGGTAGGGTAGGGTAGGGTAGGGTAGGGTAGGGTAGGATAGGATAGGATAGGATAGGATAGGATAGAATAATAGAACAGAACAGAACAGATTAGAACAGAAAGAATAGAATAAGGAAGGGAAGGGAAGGGAAGGGAAGGGAAGGGAAGGGAAGGGAAGGAAGGGAAGGGAAGGGAAGGAAGAGGAAGAGAAGAGAGAGAGAGAGAGAAGAGAAGAGAAGAGAAGAGAAGAGAAAACAGCGTCAATGTAGCAACATGGTAAGAATTAAGACCAGCAACATCTGGTTGACTAAAGGTTCCAAACCCTGATTTACAGTGCTAAAAAGAGAAATTAAAACTATTCAATTACTGTTAATAAATGCATTGATCAAATGAGAATCTCTGGAAAGTTTGAGGTAAGAGTAACCAGCTGGAACCTCACCTCAAGCAGGTTTTTACAGAAGGCAAAGAGGCAGCTGTTAAACAAAACTGCAGCAGCCCCTTTTATAAGCGAAGATATAACTGCCACTTCCCACTGGATTTAATTGACATTTTACAACCGAATAGCATATCTCTAAATACCTTTGGAAAGCAATGTTTTTTCCTTTCAGTAAGATAATCTTCTTTTAAATCTTTCTTTCTTGGAGATTTTATTTGGGCAGGGAAGGTAATCCTATAAAGCAAAATAACTGCAAAAAAGCCACTGGTTAGTCTGCTGACCTGATTTGTATCTCCTATCCCTGGAAACTTCACTGAGTTTGTGTGGTTGCAACCGTTTTAATGACGGTTCATAAAGATAAATTTCATGTTTAATTTCTATCTAGCTCTTCTGTCTATCTTGATTCTTGGAGAAAGCATGAGCTCCGCCCTATTCCTTCCCCCAAGAAGGAGATTCAAAGACAACTGCAGTTAATACTAATATTGGGGGACATGTCAATTGAAGGTCCATCTTTATTTGGGCAAATGTCACGTTGGGTTCTTCAACCTTTAGAATTGTTTATTAATGCTCACGCTAAAATGGTTATGATTTAGTATTCATTCATTCATTCATTCATTCATTTATTGGTTCGATTTATATGCCACCCTTCTCCGGAGACTCAGGGCGGCTTTCAATGCGTTAAGCAATAGCCTTCATACTTTTGTATATACCTGCTTAGTAGGGCTTTTGGGTCCCCCTAAGCGGTGTTCTTTTTATACAAAGTCACTTATTGCCCCCACAATTTACCAGACATAGCATCTATATGCAATTTCAGCAGGCCTAATAAAGGTTTGGCAAACAACTCTGAATTGTCATGCATTTTTGAATGTTTTCCTCATGGAAATATGTTTTTTTGGGTGCAGACTTTTGTCTAATAGATTTTAAGATTATTTGTTCCAAATCTGGAAATCTGGATATATTTCCTTTTTGGCTTAGTTTAGACTGAAGGACGAAACATATGACAAACAGTTGCAGGAACTGGATATGTCTCGTCTAACAAAGACGAGATGGCTAGGGATGACTTGATATTCCAATATTTGAGGCTGTCACAGAAAAGAGGGAGTCAACCTATTCTCCATAGCATCTGAGAGTAAGACAATGGGTAATGGCTGAAACCTATAAAAAGCGAACCAACCTTTGCTCAATCTTTAGGATTTCCAGGATCTAATTCCAAGCAAAACCCACTAGAAAACAAGTCAAACAGTGAGATAAGGAGGGGTGGGAAGGAAGACAAACTCAAACACCAAACAGGAGACATAGGAAGCATGCAGAGTCAGACATAAAGATCTCAAGTGCCTATATACAAAGTTTGGGGAACAAACTGGGTAAACTTGAATTATTAATACATGAAGGTAGCTATGATATAGTTGGAATCACAGAAACATGGTGGGATGAAACCCATGACTGGAACATACTGATAGAAGGATACAGACTGTTCAAAAAAAACCCCAGAGCCCAAAAAAGAGAAGGTGGAGTTGCACTGTATGTAAAGGACCAATCTTGGTTTAGGACCTGGTTATCTACGGGACCGCCTGCTACCACCAATAGCCTCCCACCGGCCAGTACGCTCCCATAGAGAGGGGCTCCTCCGGGTGCCGTCGGCCAAACAATGCCTCTAGGGGAAGAGCCTTCTCTGTGGGGGCACCTACGATCTGGAACGAGCTCCCCCCGGAGATACGGAGGATCCCGGATCTGCGCACCTTCCGTCGCGCGCTTAAAACGTTTTTATTTCACCAAGCTGGCCTGGCCTAAATCTTCTCCTCTTTTAAATTTAAATTTTAAATACAAATTTTAATCTGTTTAATTATGGGGTATTTTAAAATTCAGCCAAATTATTTAATTCGTTTTAATCTATTTTAAATTTTGTATCTCTGTGTTTTATCTTCTGGCTGTTCACCGCCCTGAGTCCTTCGGGAGAAGGGCAGTATAGAAATTTAATAAAATAAAATAAATAAAATAAAAAATAAATCTTGAACTACGAAAAATTTCTCATCATGAGAGCAATCGACCAGTGAAAAGGCTTGCCTTCAGTAGTTATGGAGGCTCCATCTCTGGAGGTTTTCAAGAAAAGATTGGACAACCATTTGTCTAGAATTGTATAGGGTCTCCTGCTTGACCAGAGGGTTGGACTAGGAAACCTCCAAAGTCCCTTTCAAATCTGCTATTCCATTACTACTATTCTAAACTTTTAATTACTTTATTGGTGGTGGTGGTATGTGTCCAAAGTTCCAAACTCTTGTCCTTGTGCTTTTCAGCAGATACTTAGGCCTAACTAAAATAGGGCATGGGGTAAGAAGGAGATGAACAACTAGCAATAGGCAATGGATACCAATTAAGTAGTAACAATTGGCAGAACAGCTGGCATCTGACTCAGGTGGCTTCTACTTACCTTTACTACAATGGGATCGTGCGCGCGAGCGAGCAAAGCGAGTGCACGAGCCTTGCTTCTGCGCATGCGCAAATCGCCGATGATGACATCCGGGGCAGTGGGTGGGGTCTCCCGCTGGTTTCTTGCGAACCGGTCCGAATCGGGGGCAACCCACCACTGATCTGACTCCTTTTCAGTGTCTCTCTGGGCTGTCAATAGAAGAAAATATTTGTAACTGTAGCTGAAGATTGAATTGTGGGACCCTTAGTGCTCTCTGAGTTTAGTTGTTTTCTTGAAGACATTTTATAACCCAACTAGGTAACATCATCGGTATTAGAAAGAAGGTTGCAGTTTGCTCTCTGTTTATATACAAGTGCTTGTCCTGTTAGTGTTGGTGGGAGTGTTGTTTTCTTCATGGTAGTTCATTGATTAGGCTGTTGTTTACTGTTAGCTTGTTTGTCTGAGTTGATAGTTCCTTTGTTGGAGTTTCATTTATTTCTTGAGTAAAGGTTTTGTTACCTGATTAGGAAACATAAGAGCCTGGTGGTGCAGCAGACTAATAGCCTGTTATTATCATCCAGCTGCCTGCAATTATTGCAAGTTCGAATCTCCCAGGCTCAAGGTTGACTCAGCCTTCCATCCTTTCTAAGGTAGGTAAATTGAGGACCCAGTTTGTGGGGGCAATAAGCTGACTTTGTATAAATATACAAAAGTTTGAAGGCTATTGCTTAACGCATTGTAAGCCGCCCTGAGTCTCCGGAGAAGGGCGGCATATAAATCAAATAATAAAAAAAACATCATCCCTATTGGTGAATGTGGGGTTTTCTCCCTGTTAATATATAGTAGCTTGTCCTCCCAGTATTGGTAGGACTGTGGTTTTTCTCTTTGGTATTGCCTTGATTAGGACATTGTTTTCTGCTGGATTGTTTGTCTGGTGTGAATCCTTCCTTATCTGGGTGTTAACACTAGCACTGCTTGCCTATATGCATCTTTTAATTTGGGTTTTAAGGTGTAGATGGACTCCACCATTATGGTTTTTCAAAAAGGGAGGTATTAGCGGTATAATTCCCCCAAGAAAATAAGTTACTTCCTGTGACATTAAAATTGAGGATCTAGCCCAATAATTCACATAGGCCAAGGTAGTTAAACCAATAAACATTTATTCAAACATATCTTTCTCTCCACAGGTGATCATCTAGGACAACCTCTGGACTGCTGGACATCAACTTATATACCTTGGAGGTGGAGTCAAGGTAAGGAGGGGCTGAGGGGAGAGGGTATGTGTGGGTGTTTCAGTTTAACCCTTACCTCCCCACGCTGCCTGGCATGTGGGTTATATGTTAGGCATTTATGTGTGACAAAACCCCCTCTAAATGCCTAACAGGGATTGGAGTGTGTGTTGACCATGATGAAGGAGTGTTATCAGTGAACACACAGTTTTGATGTTAGATAAGCATGTTGTTTATTCTGCAATGGTTTGATGACGATGTCAGCGGTTTGTTCTTCAGTCTCGCAATGTGTGGCTTTGATGAACCCAATGTTCGAAAGTTGTCTGACGTGTTTGTGTTTGATGTCAATGTGCCTTGACCTTTGGCCTACTGCGTCTGCCTTGGATATATCGATGACCGCTTTATTGTCCTCGTGTATTATTATTGGGTACGTGGGTTCGGCCCAGATGCTGGAGAGCAAGTCATCAAACCAAGTTAAGTTATTGGCCGCCTTGGACAAACATATGTATTCTGCTTCTGCGGTGGAAGTTGCCACTAAGTTTTGCTTGCCTGTATACCAGTGTACTGGACTGTTATTTATGAAAAATATATACCCAGATGTGCTCTTTCTGCTTTTTACATCCCCTGCCCAGTCGGCGTCGGCGTAACAAGTTAGAATTGGTTCCTTGGAGTTTTCTGGCTCCAGACATAGGCGAGCATCTAAGCTGTGTTTTAGGTATCTGAGTATTCATTTAATGGCCTCCCAGTGATATGTGTTTGGATTGCTGACATTCCTGGATAGGAGGTTGACGGACAGGGTAATGTCTGGCCTTGTCCAGTTTGCGATATACAGTAGGGACCCCAAAATAGATCTTTAGAGCATGTTGTCTTTGAATGCGTCGGCTTCATTATACATGTTCTTCAAGAAGTCCGGTTGCATTGGTGTTTCACTGGGTTTTGCATCCATCATATTGCATTTATGTAAGAGCTCTATGATTTTGTCTTTCTGTGAGAGCCGGAACCCTTTTCTGTCCTGTTGATTTGTACTCCTAAATACTTGTTTACCCTTCCCAAGATTTTTAGAGTGAAGTGTTTGCCCAGTTCTTCAGCGAATTCATCACATTTGTGTTTTTGTTGGCCCATGTACAATATGTTATCTATGTATATGAGTACATATTCAATGGATGTCCCTTCTCTCCTGATGAAAAAACAGATGTCTGCTGAAGTGGCAGTGAAGCCCATTGACCTGAGGATTTTCGCTAGGCATTCATACCACCTTTTCCCTGATTGCTTCACTCCATATAAGCTTTTGTTTAAGAGCCATATGTCCCCTTTTTGTGTATCTTTTCCAGGTGGGGCTCTAACGTAAATTTCTTTGTCAAGGTCTGCATGTAGGTATGCAGTCTGTACATCAAATTGATATACCTCGAGCCCCAAGATGGATGCTATCACTAATGCACTTTTGACACTCTCAGCTCTGACAGCGGGAGAGTATGTGTCAGTGTAGTCATCAGGATATTTTTGTGCAAAACCTTGCGCTACCAATCTAGCTTTGTATAATGCTTTATTGTCTTCTAATGTCTTGATTTTAAAGATCCATTTGGTTCCAATTGGGGTTTTATCACTTGGTACTTTGGAGGGGTTGTATACGTTTAGCTCCCTAAGACTGATCATCTCTTTTTCCATGGCTTGCTCCCATTTAACTCTTTCCTCTTGGGGCAGGTTGATTACCTCTTCGTAAGAATTAGGGGTTAGTGAGTAGGTTCGTATGGATAATACATAGTCCTCAAATCTTTTGGGGATTCTGTTCCTGCTCGTTCTAATTGGTCTGTCTGGTTGCGTCTCTGGCTTCCTTTTTGGTGAGTGTGTCTAACTTTATAACTGGGTGATCTTCCTTCCACTCCCTGGTATTTACAGTACTTCCTGGTGTTTTGGTTTGTGTTTCCCTGCTTCCCTGTTCCTCGTTATGATTTGATTAGCCTTGCCTTGTTTGTCATTTGTTTGTTCCCAATTGTAGAGTACTTCATTTAGGTGTATCTTTGACCACTTGGCATGTTCATGAAAAACTGCTGTTCTGGATATTATAAATCTATTGTTTTTATCTATGAACCTGAATCCCTTTGTTCCAGGTTCGTATCCCATAAATCTCAACCTTCTCGACACTTTGTCTCCCTTATGTCGTAGTTGCTTTGGTATGTGTACATCTGCAGTGACCCCAAATATATGTAAGTGTGCAATTTGTGGTTTCCTTTTATACATTATCTCATAGGGTGTTTTGTCTATTACACTGGACCATATTTAGAGTGTAATTGGAATAAATGAGTGCCTCAGTCCAAAAAGATTGCCCTAACCCTGCATCCTCTAAGGCACACCTCATCATGGTTTGCAGTGTGTTGTTCCTGTGTTCTACCACACCGTTCTGAAAGGCAGAAAACGGTGAAGAAGTGAAATGTAGTATCCCTTGCATTTTTAGCCAGTTTGAAAAATCCCTTGACAGAAATTCAGACCCCCGATCAGTCATTATCTGCTTAATTTTTGTGTTGTGCTGTACTTCCACTCTCTTGTAAAATTCCCTAAATTTTTGGTATGCTTCGTTCTTGTGGTTGAGCATGTATACAAACCCGTAATGACTAAAGTCGTCCATGATGGTCAGAAAGAATCTTTTTTTGTATTTTATGGAAGGTTTCAATGGTCCTACTAGGTCCATGTCAACTAACTGAAAAATGGAATTAGTGGTGCGTGTTGCCTTTTTTGGTGTAGGCTTGGTTTTAAGTTTAGAACACGGAACACTCAAGATAATTTTTACAACCTTTTACTTTCAAGCCATCAGAACAATCAATCATCTTTTGTATGACAGGGAAGCTAGTGTGACCCAGTTTCCTATGTAAGAGATGTGCGCAGTCATCATGTATGGGCTTGCCTATTGAAACCTTTTCCCTGTTTGGTGGATTGAGCGTGTGATTGTCATTGAGTGTGATTTCTGGGTTGTCTCCCTCTATTTCCTCACAATCACCCTCTTCTCTTTCGGTGGGTGCTGGGCTCTCCTTGGTGTCTAGGTTGGCATTTACACGTGGGTGAATATCCCCTTCAGGGTAGAGGTATGGTAGACCTCCGCTGACTATGACCTTACCTATGTTTTTCTTATTCCTAGTCATATATGCCTTCCCTTCTTTGAATGTGGTCTCAATGCCCGTGTCTTTACTTAACTTTAATGTGGCTAATATGTTGTAGGGTATTTTGGGTACAAGTAATACCCCCTCTACTTTGCCTATTCCTGGTATATGTATGTCTCCCTTTCTAGTTACTAAAACATTGTTCTGATTAGCTACTTTGATTAGGTAGTTCTCCTTCGTGAATGAAGTTAGTAACTTCTGGTTATATGTGGTGTGATTAGTTGCCCCTGAGTCTATGAGCCAGGTGTTTCCCTTTCTTGCTTGTTTGACTGTGTGTCCCTGATCTCCGAGACCGTAACGTGATCCTGACTGACTTTCCCTAGAACTGTCTCTCAGCCCTATCCTGTCTCTTGGGTTTGGTGAGTCCCTGTGCCTGTATCTGCGGTCTGGGAAGTGTCTCTCTTGAAACCTGGGCCTGTAATCCTGTCTGTCCCTGTGCTGATTGTGTTCCCTTCCTCTGGTATTTCTGGGGCAGTACCTTCTGTAGTGGTTCTTAGAGCTGCATAGGAAACACTCGGGTATGTCGTGGTCTCTATTTTGGAACCCCACTCTCTTAATGGGTCTGTGATCTCTGCATTGTAGGGAGCGGTCTTTCCTTAGATTGTCTTCGGCTATCAATTTATTTGTTAGGGTTTTTGTTGAGAAGTGTCCTAGAGTAAGGCTGTCTAGCTGTGCGATAAAGTTATCCCAGCTGGGGTTTAATGAGTTAATTATAATACTTTTCATACTCTCTTCAGATATGATTTCCCCCCTCTGTGATAGTTCGGCTCTGGTGGCGTTTAAAGTTAGTAGATGCTCACTCATGGATGTTCCTGCCTTGAGTCTAGCTGAATGAAATTCTCTAGAGATTCTAGTTGTGGTGGCCACACTCTTACTATAAAATAGATCAAACATTTCCTAGATCAGTTCAGTCGTGGTCAAGTAGTGGTTGATGCTGGGATATATACTAGGTGAGATACTGGCTATCAGCAGGTAAAAAGCTTTGTGGTGCAAACAATCTATTTCAAATATCCATGGTCTTTCAGGAGGGTCAGTAATTAGAAATAGAATATTTTCTCTTAAGAAAGTCACCTGGAGTTGTTGGTTCCATTCTATAAGGTTAGACCCATCTAATTTTAGTTTTGGGAAATCACTGGGTAAAGTCCCAGGGCTATGAGAAATATTACTTACAGAGGGCAGCTGTCCATGGTTCTGAATGTGTGGGATGCCGCAGTATGGCATCGGAATGCTAGCCAGCAATTTAAACAGACAGGCTTGCTTTTTTTTCCTTCAGGTCCTTCAGGGTGGATTTGCGTCTGTGCGAGTCTCATTTTCGTCTTGACGTCATCGGGAGAGGTTCCTGTTGCTGCGGCTCCTGAGTAGAGGCCTTGTCCTATTAGTCGGGGTTCGGATTCGGCCTTTGGGAGCCAGCGGTGAACGGGAGGTGGTCGAATCGTTGCCTGGATCGCTGGAGTGTCGTCCGGCGGGGAGTCCTGGTCATCCAGGTGAATCAGCAGCATTGGTGAGCCTCTGTTCTGGTCTCTGGGTTTCGGTGCTTGCGTCGGTGGTGTGTGGGTGTGGTCCTCATCCAGAATGGGTCGCGGTGTGGGTGTCCAGGTGTTGGCGGGGATGCCTCCCGAGTGGGCTCCGCCTTCGTTCAGGAGGAGAGCAGGTGTTTTTAAGTCGGGGCCAAAAGCAGTAGTGAGTGTTTTTATGGCCCTTTCTATTTCGAGCTTGATAGGCGAGCTCTCGTGGTTTGGTTCGGATTCTTCCTCGTGGTCGTCGGTCGTTGTTTCCCTTGGGTCTGGGCAAGTTTCGTTTCACGCCGGCCATTTTGAATCAGGGCATCCTATTGTTTGGAGGTCGGCCACCTTTGCTGATTGCTCAATCAAAGATGGCCACCATTCGGAAAGTGGCGCGAAACTGTCCCCAGCAGCCCCATGTGGAGTGTCGCCGGGCGACTCGTCACCTACCGGGCAGGCTCCAATGTTCCCGGAGTCCAGTTCGTGGCTCTTGTTCGCTGCTCCATGTTCCTCGATCAGGTGTCGGTGGTTCGCGACGAGGTCCTCGTTGTTGGTGGGTGTCCTTAGCAGTTTCAGTAGGCTCTGCCTCAGGTCGTAGCCCTCTCATGGGTCGGTTGTAGGTTTGACTTTCTCTGCGGTTATCTTTCCATCGTTTTCTGGCATGCGCTTTGGGTCCATTGCTTGTTCTCCCTTGTCTGGCGTTCCCTCTGTGATGATTCCGGTCGGTGATAGTTGCGCCGCCATTAGCCTCGTATATGCTCGGGTATTTATTCTCTTCTTATTTTTGTTCATAATTCGGAGTTATGGGCGTTTTGAACCATCCTCTGCTACCATATTGTGACAATAAAATTGAGGATCTAGCCTCAATTGAGGTAGTTAAACCAATAAACATTTATTCAAACATATCTTTCACTCTACAGGTGATCATCCAAGACAACCTCTGGACTGCTGGACATCAATTTATATACCCTGGAGGCAGAGTCAAGGTAAGGAGGGGCTGAGGGGAGAGGGTATGTGTGGGTGTTTCAGTTTAACCCTTACCTCCTCACGCTGCCTGGCATGTGGGTTATATGTTAAGCATTTATGTGTGACACTTCCCACCCAGTTGTTGGAGTTGCCTTTCGATCCCATGAAGACATATGATTCTTTATACAAGTAGTCTTCGATTTACGTCCACAATTGAGCCCAAAATTTCTGTGTTTAAGTGAGACATTTGTTAAGATGAGTTTAGTCCCATTTTATGACCATTTTTGCCACAGTTGTTAACCCTGAAGACAAGCTCAGGATCCAAAAAGATCTTGACAAACTTGAACAAAATGAATTTTAATGTGGAGAAAAGCAAAGTTTTACATTTAGACAGAAAAATCAAAAGTATCAGTACAGATTAAGCGAGACCTGGCTCCAAACAGTAACTGAGAGAGGGACCTTGGAGTCCTGGTGGATGATCATTTGAATGTGAGCCAGCCGTGTGCAGCAGCAGCAAAGAAACTAATAAAATCCTGGGTTAGATATATACCAAGGGTGGGTTCTACTTACCTTTATTACTGGTTCACAACAGGGCTGCACGCATGCACGCTGTTCGCTTTCTCTCTCTCGTGCACGCTCTTCTGCGCATGCACAGAAGCTCCCTGATGACGTCAAGGTCGGTGGGCAGAGCCTCCCGCCGGTTTTACTACTGGTTCTATAGAACCGGTCCGAACTGGGGGCAACCCACCACTGATATATAGGTTCTTTTGAGAGCAGGCAACAGAATTTCATTTAAAAAATGACAATAAAGGTGATCTTATCTTTAATGTGTCCGGCTTCTGAAGATGTGAAAAAAATGCAAAACTTTTCTTCTTTCTTCATCTTCTTGCTTGCTTGCACTTCTTTGTCCACAAGGAGAATGGACTTTGATATGATTTCCTTTTGTCCCCAAAAATATGTTTACACAACTTTCCTTCTTTTCATTATGTTTATACATTTTTTCACAACTTTCTGTTTTCTTGAGTGACCTACACACAATAATGTATTCCTTCATTTGTGTAACGTTCAAGCTGCCCAGAGCCACCTTGTAGGGGAGATGGACAGCATAGAAATTTAATGTTGTTGTTGTTAGTTGCGAACTTGTGTCCGACCCATCGCAACCCCATGGACAACTTTCTCCAGACAACTTTCCTCCAAACATATAACTGCCACTTCCCACTGGATTTAATTGACATTTACACGGAAATAACATATCTCTAGATATCTTGGGAAGGCAATGTTTTTTTTCATTTCAGTAAGATAATCATTTAAATCTCTTTCTTGGAGATTTTATATTGGTGGGAGGTAATTCTATAAAGCAAAATAGCTGAAAAAAGGCACTGGTTAGACTGCTGACCTGATTTGTATCTCCTATCCTTGGAAACTTCACTGACTTTCTGTGGTTGCAACCGTTTTAATAACGGTTAATGAAGATAAATTTCATGCTTGATTTCTATCTAGCTCCTCTGCCTATCATGCATGTGCTCCATCTACCCTTCTCCTTCCCCCAAGCAGGAGATTCAAAGACAACAAAGACCCTCTGTAACAGACAATGACTAGAATAATAAATGAAGCAACATTGTCATTCTGTACGTTGCAAGTATATCGGAAAAGCTCAGGAGGAACTTCAGCCAACATAACATACTGTATGTGCATACTTCCAACCCAAGAATACACTAAGGCAGAAGCTTGTCCACCTCAAAGATAAAATACCCAGACAGAAACTAAGCAATGTCGTATATGCAGTACAATGCAGTGAACCATGTGCAGATTTGTACATTGGGGAAACAAAACAACCACTTCATAAACATGGCACAACATAGGAGAGCAAACACATCAGGACTAGATTCCGTAGTCAATCTGCATTTAAAAGACACAGACCACTCTTTTGAAGACAACAAAATCCATATTTTGGACAGAGGATCTCTGGTTTGAAAGAAGGATTAAAGAGGGCATCTATGTCAAAACTGAACAGCCCTCTCTCAACCGAGGAGGAGGGATATGACATCATCTACCTCCAATCTACAACACAGTCCTTTCAACAATTCCAAGAAGGCTCTATACCCATTTGCACCACTCAGGTGACCCTGATGACACAGAGAAACCTCCAGGTGATCTTAACGACCTGCTAAAAGAATGCAAATAACGAGCTTTCTGCAAGGAATAAAAATCCTTCCATTCCCCACCATCCCCAGTCCGAGTCGAGATCTTCCCAAATCTGAATGATTTTGTCATACAGATACTGAATAAAGTCCTCGCTCTACCCTCCAAGGGGTCCTCCCCCGCTTCCTGGTGGAGCAGGGAGCGGGTCGCCCTAAACAGGGCGGTCAGGCGGTTATGTGATGACGCAATAAGAGCAGCTTCTTGGATGAGAAGTGAAATGTCTTCAAGGAAAAACCAGAAAGTCCAGTTGCCTCTTGAAAAAAAGCACCTTTGGGACAACCATGACATGGATGACTGAGAATCTCCATAGACATTCCGTGACGCAGTTTGTTAAAACACCCTCAGTTGTGCCTCTGTAAAAACTGGCCAAGACAGAAGGGAAAAGATGCAGATGCAGATCATGTGATCAGATTGAGCAGGGCATTGGACTAGAGCAGTGGTCACCAACCGGTGGTCCATGGACCACTGGTGGTCCGGGAGAAAATTTTGGTGGTCCGGGGAGAAATTTTCGTATTTTTTGCATTTTTTATATTGCACTCATCCTCAAGCTATGGCCCCTGGGCTGGATATGGCCCAAGAGCAATTAATCTGGCCCGCATGTGGGAACACACAGCTGCACCGCCGATATCACCCTGCCCACACGTCAGCCCACACTCTTAAGGCCAAGCGCAAACCTCACCTTGAGTAGAGCAGTGCGAGCCACATGAATTGGAACTGGAAGGTAAGACCAAGAGCTCGCCATGCTCAGCCGAATGGTTGCCTGGGGGGAAGCTTCAGCCACCTTTCGGGTCTACATCTCTCCTTCTGCAAGGCCTCTGGATGGGACTGTAGTAGTCACAGGACTGGCCGGTTGGTCATCCCAAAGCAGCTCCTGCACCCCGGCACCGGCCTGCTGGGGAGCTGCCTACTCCCCGGCAGGCCGGTGCACCCTGCTAGAGGAGCTGCTCCGGGATGACCAATGGGTCAGTCCTGTGAGTTAGACTACTACAGCTCTGGAATATGGGACTGGCCGTGGTGGGGCTGGAAATCTCTGCTCTGGGGTGGCACGTGCAATGTGCAACTTTGCAGGTGGTGCAAGAGCCCTGGTGGCGCAGCAGACTAAAGCACTGTTATTAACATCAGCTGCCTGCAATTACTGCAAATTCAAATCTCACCAGGCTGAAGGTTGACTCAGCCTTCCATCCTTTCTAAGGTAGGTAAAATGAGGACCCGGATTGTGGGGGCAATAAGCTGACTTTGTATAAATATACAAAAGTATGAAGGCTATTGCTTAACACATTGTAAGCCGCCCTGAGTCTCCGGAGAAGGGCGGCATATAAATCAAATTTTTAAAAAAAATACGGAAAAAGGAGCGCAGCCCTCACTGTCTGGAATGAAATAATGGTGCTGTTGTGGCAGTGGGGGAGGGGGCGGCACAAGCGGGCAAAAGTGGCAGTTGTGATGGCTGGAAGCTGCGGGAGTGAAGCACTACTTTCATTTGCATAGCAACAGCATTCCGCAATGGAGAGCAAAATCTGGCTGCTCCCCGAATCAGACACTGTTTACTGCTCTGAGTCCCAAACGGCAGGAAACGAGGGCTGCCTTGCGCTGCAAATATACCAAGGCAGAATCCTGATACCGCACTACAGCAGAGAGAAGAAGCCGGATTTTGCTGTCCATTGCAGACACCAGATCGGCCCCCTGCAAGCTCTCGTCTCTCAAGGAGCCCAACCAAAGTTTCCAGCGCCTCTTCAGGGAGCGCTCCTCAAGAGATGAGAGCTTTCAGGAGGCTGATCTGGTGTCCGCGATGGAGAGCAAAATCTGGCTGCTCCCCGAACCAGATGCCATTTACCGCTCCAAGTCCTAAGCAGCAGGAGAAGAGGGCTGCCTTGCGGCACTGGCTGGCGCAAATATACCGAGGCGAATGCTCATGCCACGCAAGTTCAAGTAGTGCTTCGCTCCCGCACTTCTTCCAGCCCTTGTTGGTGCTCCATGCACCTCAGTCTCTCAGAGAGATGCTTGACTTCCTCTCAGCCCCAAGACACTGGCTGGCCCATGAGATGAGAGAGAGAGAGAATGAAAGAGAGAGAATGAGAGAGAGAGAGAGAGAGAGAGAGAAAGAGAGAGAGAATGAAAGAGAATCAGAATGAGACAGAGAGAAAGAGACAGAGAATGAAAGAGAGAGAGAGAAAGAGAGAGAATGAGAGGGAAAATGAGAGAGAGAGAGAGAGAGAGAATCAGAGAGAGAGTGAGAGAGAGAGAATGAGAGACAGAGAAAGAGAGAATGAAAGAGAGAATCAGAGAGAGAATGAGAGAGAGACAATGAAAGAGAATCAGAGAGAGAGAATCAGAATGAGAAAGAGAGAGGGGGGAAGAGAGAGAAAGAGAGAGAGAAAGAGTGGGGAGAGAGAGAGAAAGAGAGAGGAGGGAGAGTGCCTGAAGGACCCCATCCCGTCACTGGGAGTCCAGGTGCTTCAGCAAGCGGCGCGCTGGATTCGTATTAGTGGTCCGCGAAATTTAAAATTATGAACTTGGTGGTCCCTGAGGTCCAAAAGGTTGGGGACCCCTGGACTAGAGGACCTCCAAGTTCCCTTCCAGCTCTATTCTGAATTGAACCGATTCACTTACAGTAACATCTGTGTTACTGTACCGTGTTGATATTCGCTTAACAACTGTGACAAGAAAGGCCATACAATGGGGAAAATTCACTAAACAATTGCCTCGCTTAACCACAGAAATTTGGGCTTGACGGTAGTTGTACGTCGAGGGCTACCTGTAATCAACTGAAGGACTCTTCATCAAAGGTCCCACTTAGTGACGAAAGGAAGATAGAGCATCTG